AGTGAGCCACGGGCCCTGTCTTTTCATCTTCTTGATGGTGTTCTTGAAGCACAAAAGTTTTTCATTTTGATGAAGTACAATTTCTGTATATTTTTCTTTTGTCACTTCTGTTTTTGGTGTCCTATTTAAGAAGCCATTGCCTAATCCAAGGCCACAAAGATTCATGCCTATGTTTTCTTCTAAGAGTTCATAGTTTTAGTTCTTACATTTAGTCTTTATTTTGAATTAATTTTTGTAATGTGAGGTAGGATATAACATGGGGGTATTGTTTCTTTTGCATGTGGATATCCAGTTTTCCCAGCACCATTTGTTAGAAGGACTGTTCTTTCACACAGAATGGTCTTGGCATGCTTGTCAAAAATAATTGACCATAAATGTGAGGGTTTATATTTGACTCTCAATTCTGTTACATTTGTCTATATATCTGTTCTTATGCCAATACTACACTATTTTGTATACTGTAGCTTTGTAGCATGTTTTGAAATAAGGAATGGTGACCCCTCCAACTTTGTTCTTTTTAAAGATTGTTTTGGCTATTTGGCATGCCTTGTATTTCCATGTGAATTTTAGGATCAGCTGGTCAGTTTCTGCGGAGAAGCCAGCTGTAGATCAATGTGTAGAGTAATGCCATTTTAACAATATTCAGTCTTCTGACTGATAAACATGGCATGTCTTTCTGTTTATTAGGTCTTTAATTTATTTCCACAATTTTTTACAGTTCTCAGTTTATAGGTTTTAAGTTTATTCCTAAGTATTTTATTCTTTTTGATGTTATTGTAAATAGAATTTTTTTCTAAATTTCATTTTTGGATTGTTTATTACAAGTGTATAGGAATACAACTAATTTATGAATATCAATATTAAATATGCATCTTTGCCAAACTCATTTATTAGGTCTCATAAGTTTTTTCGTGAATTCCTTAGGATTTATTAATTTTCAAGATCATGTCATCTGCAAAGGAGGTAGTTTTTACTTCATTCTTTCCAATCTGGGTGTTTTTTATTTCTTTTCCTCATCTAATTGCCCTGGCTGGAACCAGTACAATAATGAATAGAAGAGGCAAGAGCAGCCTTACCTCTTTGTTCACAATCTTCAAGGAACAGTTTTCATTCTTTTGCCATTAACTCAGATGTTTCTTGATGCCTTTGATCGGGTTGAAGTTCTTTGTACTGTGACTTGTTGAGTATTTTTATCCTGAAAAGATGCTAGGTAAACATTTTTACCTTGTTGCGTTTATTTAAAAATTTTTAACCTTGTTATAACATTTTAGATGAGCAGTTATTTTCAACAATTTTTAGAACGTATAGCATTACCTAAATTCTTTCTAGTCAAGTTGTATTTGACAGGTTATTCCAGTTTCAATGATTAGAAATACTAACTTTTTTAACCTCCCACATTCTCCCCCCACCCTTTTTTTAATAGGAGTAACTTTATATATGGCTCATATCTGAGTAAAGAAGAAATTGCTTTCTCAGATCCCACTCCTGATGGAAAACTGTTTGCAACACAGTACTGTGGCACTGGTCAGTTTCTGGTATATAATTTTATTAATGGACAGAATAACACCTAAAACAAATTCTTGCCTGCAGTACTAGAAGACATCAAATGAAGAGAATGGATTGGTTGCTGATTTTAACCAGGAACTAGGGCCATTTTTATTACAATGAACTCAGGACTGGCAACAACCTATGGTTGTTCCATTTTCATAAAATTGGAAACAATGCAGTAATACCTTATTATTGTTTTGTTTTTTAAAGAAGATATTTTATTATCTTTTACAGAAATTTATGATTGATGTATTTTATCTATAGTTATTTAGACATGTTTACATGCAGCAGATAATTGTTCATAGTGGACTGAAAACTAATGCAAGGACTACGGTCTCAGTGATAAGTATATTTTGAAGTTCTTAATATGGAAATATACCAGTGTAGCTTGGTACTGTATTTTTTTACATTGATCTGCTGATACCAGTTATAGGTTTAAAGATTGTATTTTCACAGAGTAGAAACCAATGTTTTTGAGTTATCATTCAAGGAGGATGTAATATTATGTGTTTAGGAATTCAAAGCTAATTCTTAAAAGGCCTGATGTATACTTTGAAGAAACCCCTAATGAAAATGAAAACTTCAGCTAAGCAGGAAGAATTGGGAATAATAAGTTTTTTCTTCCATTTCTCTCTTTCCTATCTTTGATGGCAGGAAGAAGTGGAAGGTGGTAAAGAATTGAGGCTTTCTTTCCTGGAGACCTATAAATCACTAAAATTAGGAAGCATGCCCTCTAAATTCATTGTTCTTTCATTCTGGTTTCAATTTTTGTAGTAAATGGCAACTTGGCTCACCTAAACAGTTAACAAATCTCAAAAACTTTTATAAAACCTATGGAATAATTGCAAGCCAAATATGGATGACTTGGTATCTGCTTTGTTATTCCTCAGAAATACTGCACTGAGTATATGCCCTCATTACGGGACTTCATTTTGATACTTGTCTATCCTTCATAGTGCCCTCTACTTTTAAAGGGTTTATATGTTGAAAAACTGCTGTGGCCTTTTATGACCTGTATATATTGTAGAATAAAATAATAAAATACTTGTTAGCTTTTTCTATGTGATAAATGTACTAAGATAACAGTGTGTTGTCATTTGTGTTTTTTCAGGGAGCTTCTTAGGTCTGATACCTTGAAATATGATTAAAACACTGGCTTCTTAAAGGTAGTTTTCACCAGTTTTCCAAAGAATCATGTCAGCAGCAAATCAGCTGAACTTTATCTCCAAAAGGCAAAATCCTTTCTGATTTATTAATAACATGGTACTTGGTACTGTATAATTTAATAACATGGTACTTTTCTGATTTCTCAAAGAAATAAAGGACCACAGTCCAAGAGTGAAGTACCACTATGGTTCAACTTAATAACATGGTACTTTTCTGATCTTTCATAGAAATAAAGAAATATTTATAAAAATGTCTATCATATAGACATTACAGGAACCCAAGAATGATGTACCATGATGGTTTAGCTCATTATTTTAATGAACTGGAATGATCATATCTCCATTGACAACTGGCTAAACTTTAGGGCCTTAAATTAAGATTAACAACTATACATTTTATCCCCCTGTAGATTTGTAGTTTTTAAAATTATTATTTATAGAGTGGTGTAAGACTCTGTATTCTTTGTATGGGTAGAATGGTGAGGCGGTGTAAATATTTCTCCTGACTCATCATGATAGTCTATCTTTTGACACTACCATTTCTTTTTGGGTTTGAGACTCTTCTGGTCATCCCTCATCTCATTATTTGCCTAATAGATACCAAGATTTTTTTTTAAAGAGAGTGAAATTTTTGGGTATAGACTCTCTAGTAACTGTTAACTTGATAGTACAGGTCCAGTTTCCATATAAATCATATTGTGCTACTTTGACTACTTTTGACTTGGTGGTTTCAAGGAGACCTGGGGGTAGATGATAGTCTATCTTTTGACACTACCATTTCTTTTTGGGTTTGAGACTCTTCTGGTCATCCCTCGTCTCATTATTTGCCTAATAGATACCAAGATTTTTTTTTAAAGAGAGTGAAATTTTGGGGTATAGACTCTCTAGTAACTGTTAACTTGATAGTACGGGTCCAGTTTCCATATAAATCATATTGTGCTACTTTGACTACTTTTGACTTGGTGGTTTCAAGGAGACCTGGGGGTAGAGAGGATATATTGATTGGTTGGTTTAAGTGATATCAATATTGGAAAAACAGTTTATGTTTATATTGATGACATAACCCCCCCAAATAAATTTTATAATCTAGGTATTTCTCTTAGTATTATTAGTAATACCTAACATTTGAGTGTTTGCTATGTGTCAGCCCCTGTGTTTAGTGCTGCATTATTTAATCATCATGACAACCCTGTGAGGTAATGTTTACAAGTGAGGAACTTAAATAATTAACTGACAATTTGTATGAAAAATGTTGAAACAGTGAACTAAAGCGGTGATGTAAGAATGAAGATGAAGAGACAGATACACAATGAAAAGATACAATTGAACAATTGATAGGAGTTTATAACTGGAAAAGGATCATAGCTAAAAATCTAGGGTAAGTGGGAATTTTGGTTTGGATGATTGAGTAGGTGGACTGAGACTGGAATAGAGGAGAAGTAGATTGGGAGGATTGGATGGGGGAAGGATGAGCTCTGTTTTGGTCAAGATTTTAAGGTGGTTGTAGAATCTCTAAGTGGAGATCTCTACCTAGTATACAGTGCTAGATATATGGATCTAGATTTTGAGAGAGGTTTGGACTGAGCAAATAAATTTATGAGTTTAGTTATTTGAAGGTTTAGAAGAGATCACCCTGGGGTTTGTAAAGTGAGAAGGTAGGAAGGAGTTGTGAGGAGCACCATCATTTAAGAGTCTCAAAGAAGAATACTGAGAAAGCATGAGCAAGGTAAGAAAGGCAGAAGAGAGTGGTAGAAACCACAAGAAGAATTTCGAGAATCAAAGAATAGTCAACACTATCATACCACAATGGAAGACTGAAGAGAATCCACATAACGTTAGAAAAAGAGCAGTCTCTGGAATGGTGGAGGCAGCAGTGGACACAGTGAGTATACACTAAAGGGCACAAACTTCAAAAGAGGGTGATTCTATAATTGCTGTTATAAAGGTACCTATACATTTTTTTACTAGTAAACCTCAACTAGTTTTTGGTCCTTTATAAAAATGTCTATCATATAGACATTACAAGAACCACAGGTATAAACAGGAACCATCAGATTTTATGGGTTATACAGTAGTTTATTTAGCAAGAATTATAAAAAGCAATATTTTACTAGTTTATAATATGTAAGAGTGAACTTAGTGTATCTATTAAAAGCATGACTATTATAAGGACAGTAAATGAGTACAACAGACCTGCATTGTGATTTAAATCGTTCTTGCTTACTTTGCATGGCTGCCCAGCTAGGGAATCTTATCCCTCTGGATAGAAGAACACAGCCATATTTTGCCTAGGGTTGAGATTGCTGAGTTGATTCCCGGGGTATTGACTTACAGATATACGTCATCTTTCTCATGGCCTCTGATCCTTCTGGCAGAAAAACAGAAGGGTTCTGTCTTATAGCAACCCTCCACCCCCACCACTCTCTTGGATAAAATAAAAGACATTGGAACTACTTATGAAATGAGGTGGTCAGAAAAGTTAATTGGTGTTGCCTTTTCTTTCTTATAACTTATTCCATCCATTGTCACAGTCACTGAAATAGATGCTTTAGCTTAGTATCTGACAGTAGCACAATGAATTTATTATGTAAATGACTTTTTCCTTAAAAGCTATTCTTGAAGTTGTCTTTACTGATGATTTTTTCAGTGAAGCCAGGGTTTCAGTGTTATAGCAATATTCTCCTAGACCCAAAGGAAACCTCAGGGCCCGTTTCCATCCCTAAAGGTAAGCCTGAGGTATGTTTGTTCCTGGATGTTGTTCCAGGTCTGGGTAGTTGAATAAGAAGGTGCAACAATCAGAGTTTCACATTATCTTTTCAAGGCAGCTGTTTTGGCATATATAGTGGAACACTGGCAGTTTCTGTATTCCCCTGAATCTGTCATCATACTTAGAAATATTTATTGCTTCTCCTGAGGTAATGGCCTAAGGGCCTTTGGCCTGGAAGAGTATTTTTATGTCTATACGTATATATATTATATAGAATTTTATGTCAAATTGTATTATTTTACTGTTCTTTGTATAGAGCTGAAAGGCATCTTTGGGGGACAAAGTTATTCTCAAAAGTTGGTAAAATTAGAGATTAATAGTAACACCTTGTATCATACTACACAGTTCTAGCAACTCAAAGTTCTGTTTTTGAGAAGGACACCAAAGTGACTATAGTTGCCATCTATAAAAGATTGGGGATGTAGTATGAATGTTCCTAAAGTAGTATTCTAGATGAGTCATCTGCAATTATGTGTAAATCTGATGAGAATGGGCATGGTCTGTAGATGTTTTGTGTGTGTGTGTATCTGCTTTGTATAAGCTACAGATTTTCATTCAACAAGTATTTATTTAGCATATTCTTGGACTTTTATGCCAGAATAGTAGAATCTTAGAGTCATCTAACCTATGATATGGGGACTTACAGCCTTTCTTGGACATTGCCAGAGCTCATTCCATTTTTTTAAAAAAATACCAGAAAATTAGTTTAAAAAACCCCAAACTTTTGGAGGGATAGGGAGTGGGAGAAATTTTTAATACATTCACCAAATTAAATGAAAGGACACGAACATACTGTAGACACACTTAATACAATTTAGAATCAAACAAAATGTGAGGTAGACTGACTAGTGAAGTTCACCAAATTTTGGTTTAAAATTTTTTTTTTACAGTAATAAAGTAAGACAGGGATGCTCCCTTTTCTAAAAAAATCACAAAAAGCAATTGCATAAATTACAGCCCCAAAAATTGACTACACCAATTCTCATTCTAATTTTTAGTTTACATTCAATATTAACCTGTGTGAACTGTCATACATGCCAGGGTTCATCAGGTCTGTAGATGAGTTACTGTGTGAGCCTAGTGAATCCATTCACCACCCACATCAGTGTTGTAAGGGATGGCAAAGCTTAAAGCTGAACACACCAAGACATACACTAACAAATCATGGTGTCCAGTGCTTGTGCAATTTTATCCTTAAAGAAGGACCTAACATTCTTTAAAGAATTATACTGATAAGGTGATTTTAAAAGATCCAAATGTTAGAAGTAAGATAGGCTTTGAAAAGAACAGGCAGATCAATTTAAATTTCTCCATTTTTAGGGTAATGATCTTCAGGCTTTATTCTGGCATTTCTCTTCCACAGAGTTAAATAGTATTTAAGAGCTCATAATCATTTGAGTTTTCAGAGTGTAGCCTTAACTAATATGGAGTACCTGCATCTAAACTACCTACTTTAAAAAGTGTTCTTTGGACTATGAAGTCATAAAGCCAGAAGAAACCCTGAGAAGCCATCTGCCCCGGGTATAATTGTTTTAGAATTATTTCAAGTATTTTATTTGCCCTATATAGTAAATGTTATTGGAATATTGCACAAACAGTGGGTTTCTTGATATCATCTGCATTAGGCCCTTTTAACAAAATAGAACAAGTGAAATACATTCATGTCTAAATCAGACTGCTTCAAAGCATACCTCTTTGCCAAGAATTTTGCCATACTAAAATTAAGTAATATTTTTAAAGCATATATAAGGCAGGTCCTCTTTGAAGGACAATTCAAAATGGGGTTAAAAGGAATTGTTCATTGACATTTAAAGCATAAGTAGCTATATTAAAACCAAGAGATCTGCAAACCATTTTCAGTCAAACACATTCCATATTTTCACTAGCTGTAAACTCCTTGTTATCACAAGATAATAAAGCTGGTTAATTAACACTATTTGTTCTCAGTAAATGCAGGCTTAGTAGGCCTCTCTCAGTAGTTTCAGGTCACAAACGATATTGTTTCAAGTAAAGATGGCCATTTTAAATGGGGATAAAGTGGTACATATGGGCTAATCTCAAGAGAATGTTTAATGATAAGACTGGAATAATTTAAGAGTAAACTTCCAGTAGACTTAGTTTGTTCTAGAACATTTTCTAAAAATGTTTTTGATTAAAATATTCTGTGAGAAATCTGTAGTAGTTTATGCTTTCTACTGCTGATATTGGACAACACTCCCTGCTGATTTTGAGTCAGAAAGTCTTGATAGAATCTTCCTTACTCCTCACAAAAGAGTCATGGGTAAAATTAAGCAAAACAATTCTCTTTCTATGGCTCTAGTTCCCATTTCAGCAGTTTTTTGTGTTGTCAGCGTAAGGCAGCTAATATACAGTGTATCTTTTACAGGAAGCTTTGCTTGAATCCCTGAAAGGAACTAGCTTCACTCCACAACAGAACTTTTTGCTGGTGCCAACTGCTTAATTCCAACTAAACACGGTGGGTGCGGATTAACCACTGAAAGCTTCTTAACTGGCTCAACCACTTAATCAGGTTCTTGCCCAAGATTAGTCACTGTTCCATATTCTCATAGATGTGGTGTGCTTAAAGACTGGAAACATTTTTTTAAAAATGGGAAAAGCAAAGGAATTAAGCTAAGAGAAACTGCATAAATGCACACAATGCCTGCTCTGCATTTACTGATTTGTTTGTTCAGTTTAAATAGTAAACTTTTAACTCCTGTGGAAATTTTGCCAAAGGTTTCAATACATATAAGATTATAAATCTTAAACTAACACGTCACAGAGAAAGACAAAAGCTACTTCTTTTTTTAAATACAAATATCTTCTACATTCTATCATTTCAGACCCCTGAGTAATACTGTACCAAAGTACAGAACTGAAGAGAAGCTGAGGGTTTAGGCCTCAAACGTTAATCTTCAGTTAATTCCACACCAATGGTGTGACTCTCATGTAACACATTCAGGCTAGCTAATGCTGAGAGTCAGTTTCCTCCTTATGTAGTTTAGTAGAAAAACAATGCAAACTCCATGCTCATTCTCCAAAGTATATCCTCCTCCGGATCCCGTGGGCAGACTATATCTTAAGTAATTGCATAACTGCGTAGGGTGGAGTTTACCTGAATTTAAGGTTCTGTAATTGGAACTGAAGGAGAGTGATGTCCCCAAAGACGTAGGTCAGATTTGGGGAGTTCTTTGGAGAACAGACAAATATGTTGCACTTTGCTCCACAGTGATTGTACTTTAAAGAAAAAAAATAATCCCAAATAACTGTTTGTCCCACCCCACCTAGGCATCCCTTTGCTATTTTTGGTCTCCTCGAAAGCTCATACATGGCGTCCAGTAAGAAAATAGAGAGGCTTGTCATCACTGCTATTAGCAGTTTGAAACTCATCACGGAGGCGGAACTGCCACTCATCCTCTAGCTCTAAGCGGACAATTGTTTGGCGTAAGGAGCTTCTGTCTTGACAGATGACACACAGGGTAGCACCTTCAGGAAAAAAGGCAGAAATGTGTCTTAGGCGCAGGGATTGGTTTTATAAAAGAATCTTACCACCTATATCTCTGTTTATATTCCTTAAAATAAGAGATTTGAGAACCAACATATAGGTAAGCAACCTATCAGAATTGTTCATTTTTATTTTATTATTTATTTTGAATAAATCGTTTTACAAGTTCAAACGTTTAAAAGAGTATAAAGTGAACCCCCCCCCCCCCACACACACACACACACTACCACCCTGCTGTGGTAGCCAGTGTTATGTTTCTCATGTGTTCCTGTAGAACAGGGTTTCTCAACTTTAGCACTAGTGGGCTGGATAATTCTTTGTTGTGGGGGCTGTTTTATGCCCTATAGGATGTTTAGCAGCATCCCTGGCTTCTGCCCCCACTATATGCCAGCAACACCCTTCAGTGTGACAACCAAAAATGTCTCTAAACATTGCCAAATGTCTCCTGGAAGGCAAAATTGTCCCCTCCCCTTTGAGAACCACTGTTCCAGAGGTACTTTATACATACATTTATGACATTAATAAATACACAGTTTCCCGTGTTATGCTGCACACGATATTCTGAACCTCACTTTTTTCACTGACCTCAAAGGTCCTTTTATCAGGATTGTTTGTAATGTTTAATCTGTAGTTGTTTTAGGCAAATCTAACTCTTTCTGTGGTACATACCTTTTGAAGCAACTTTAGTTTGTATATCAGAATCATAACTAAGGGTTTATGCCTTTTATCAGGATTGTTTGTAATGTTTAATCTGTAGTTGTTTTAGGCAAATCTAACTCTTTATGTGGTACATACCTTTTGAAGCAACTTTAGTTTGTATATCAGAATCATAACTAAGGGTTTATATCTGGGGATGCAATTATACAAAATTGTTGCAATTAATTCCTGACCCAGGCAGTATGTTATATTCAAATTACTACAGAATGTATATAGTTATGTACATGTATAGGTAGATTTATTAACCTGATTTCTATTAAAACTTAATTATATGAGAAGCATTATGTATTCTTATATTGTATCATTCCTTTCTAAAATTAATAATGGCAAAAACCTGTTTAATAAGGTCACATATCTGGCTGTTCATCTGCATTTAGTCTTAGGATAACAATGCCTGATCTTTTTTTTTTTTTTTCCTTCCCAGTTAAGGAAATCAGTGGCCCTGGTTTAAAAGCCAGGAATTCAAATTACTGGTTTTAAAAAAAGCAGTGTCAAAGTGCTTTTTAAAAAATCTTTCACCTCTGTATTTTGTCCAGTGGGAACAATAGCATTCACAAGCAAGATACTAAATTTGATTTACCTTTTAGAAACTTAAATTTCTTAAGAAGATCAGCACCTACAAAAGAGTCACAGAGGTACAAGAGGAGTCCACTGAAAAACACCCCTTCACAATTGACATTGCTGGAGTGGGGTCTGGAGCTGACATAGCATATGGCCACCTGAAATCATCAAGCAGAAACAGCATGGGCATTTCAAGAGCAAGCAAGATGTCTGCACTTTAGCAGAATGAGTCAGTACCTTCCTCTTTATCTATTTCAGGGTAAGGTAAAGGAGATGAATTTTCTTCATTATTAAATTAAATGGGTTAGTTATTTAAGCTTTGTACCTCTTTTAGTTAGTGTGCCAAGTTTTAACTGTTTAAAGTTTCTCTCATAATAAAGGACTATTAGAGAAATTAGTAGTAAAAAATAACAAGCCCCTCCATCTGAGTCTTTATATTAAAAAACAAAAAAAAAATTACTTTCCACAAAAAGGCATACCTAGGAAAGATTAAATGTTTAGACCACCTTATTGATGAGAATTAAATTTTCAATTCAACAAGCTTAAAACGGTGCATGAATTTAAATTTTTAGCTGTATGTGGCTTCCATGTACAGAAGACATCACAAAAATTACAGTACATAAATAAGATGGTTGGAGTTAGAACGGTGGAATGGCTGAACACATGGGCCAGTCTGCTTGGGTTCAAATACTAGTTCCTCCATTTAGTAGCCGTGTGACACTGAGCAGTTTCCTCATCTATACAGATAACAATAGTACTTGTTTCATAGGCTATTTTGTGAATTAAATAATGTAAACTACTTAGTAAGTGTTCAGTAAATGTTAGCTGCTACTAGTAGGAGTAGTATTGAGATTGTGTTTTCTAATACCTAGAGCCCTGAACTGTAGTGTGGGGGAATTGGGAGACCTGGGTTAGACTCATAACTTTACCTAGACACCATAAAAAGGGGTATTATATCTGATGGGTTTTTTGTTTTGTTTTTTGGTGGTTGGCCAGTCCGGGGATCTGAATCCTTGAGCTTGGGTGTTTAACACCACACTCTAACCAACTGAGCTAACTGGCCAACCCTTATATCTGATGGTTTTTAAAGTTTCTTCTTCTTCTAAAATTCTACAATCCATAGACCAACCCACAGTATGGATTATTGAAGTGCTATAAAAATGAGAATGTAAAATGTTTACACTGTTAAATTTTAAAAACTAGTTTCCAAAATTGAGTACAGTTGGACTTCATTCAATGTTAAAAGAATGCGTGTGTGTGGATATGTGTGTTTTTGTCAATACATACAAAGAAAAAACCCTGGAGGGAAAATTCAGTACACCAAAATGTTATGTTCCTGTTACAGGTGATTTTTTTTTCTTCTTTATACCCTTTATTTTAAACTTTTTTTTACAAAAAGGATATATTACATTAATGAAGAGAATAAAATAAAGTTTTAAAAGATAATCCCAAGGGAAAACTTAGTGATAGAAGCCTGGAGGTGCAAGTGGCTATTTTCCTAAAAAACTCAAACTGGTGAGGAACTTGAGAAAGAAGTTCAGGGCGGGAAATTGAGAGGTGACAGCTATAAAGGTCTCAGGTGGTACCCATTCATTTGTTCAGTAATCATTGAGCTCATGGAAAAATAAAATTGAAAGATAAAATGAATCTTTCCATGAACATTTTGAAGTACTCTAGTATATGCCTAAAACAGTGGCTAAGACATTGTGTGCCTTTGAAAAACTCTCAATCTTATGGAGCAAATTCACATATTTACTATCAAGTCTGATAAAAAGACAGGTGGGAACAAGCAACTGCTTTTGCTCAAGGTCGGCGAGGTAGGCTTCTCAGAGGAGCTGACATCTGCGCTAAGCTGTGAGTGTTCACTGGCTCATTTTGTAGATGTGACAGAGGTATGGGGAGGGACAACTGCTATCACATGTTGTGAGAGCCTTTGCATAAGTATGTCATAGGCTCCTTTTTTGTCTTCATTTAAGTTTTCAAACAGCTAATATGGGAAAAAAATGGATGGACGTGAGTAAGCACAGTACTACCTGCCTCTGCCCTCCCCCTTACCTCCGGCCCAATGTTAAGGTAGCAGTCAATGGCCAGCACAGGACTCTTGAAATTACGGATGGCTTTGGGGAAGAGTTTATATGAGGCGTGCTGAAGGAACTTCTCCAGGAGAAACTGTGCAGGGGCTGCCAGTAGCGTGTGTTCACTGTCAGGAGCACAGACATACTGAAGGGGCAAGATGGGTGCTAAGCTCTCTGACACCTGCAATCAGAGCCGAGATGATCATGGGAAACGTCATGTCTGTCACTGGATGAAACAGTCAAGGAAAAACTGGATTGCATCCTAACAGCCCCCAAGTAATAGCAATAGCACAGTGACAGATGTTAGGTTCCAGTTTGTCTGTCATTCTTGGGTCCTGAAATTTTTTTCCTTGGTCATAGTACAATAGGATTTAACATAAGCTACATATAGCAAGGGCAAGAGAAAGTGGAAAGTGGGCTTCTTTGAAAGTTACTGCATTTAACAAGTACACTGTAAGATCCAATAGGAAGCCTTTTATAGGGCTGCTGGGTAGGTATGGGTTAAATCCTATTCTGTCTCAAACCACCACCCCACTCCACCTCCACCCACCCAAAGGCAATGTAAATGATTAGAAACTAGTAAATCCTCAGAAAAGAGTAGGCCCATGGAATTCGCTTTTCACAGGTTTTGGTCAGTTACTATCTTTAAAAACAAAACCTGACAAAGGACTAGGCAAAATTCTTGATTTACATTTCTCTCATTACACAAAGCATGTAAAAATGTAAAGTTTGCCATCTTAAAACTGAAGCTTTCAGGCTTAAATCTTAAGTGTTGATAGTTCAACAAAATTACATTTCTTATGTTTGGTTGTTCACAAGTACCACATCTGACATTAAGAACTCCCCTGTGTTACTTCACTTTCCAATCAGGGTGTGGGGTGCTTAATGCCAGTACCTAATAACAAAGATACTCATATGAAATCATTGTCTTATGTAGAATCAAGCTCGTAAAACTTACCATAAACTTTGGTTTAATGATAAAGTCCCTTTGCCCGCCAACCTGAACATGTTTCTTCATGAGACTGAAGTTATTAAAGCGGCAGATGAGCAGGCCACTACTGTTCGTTCTCATGTTAAAGTCAACATCTTCACAGAAATACCTAAATCATAACCATAATGATAGGTTTCTTTCACTGCCTGTCACATCTTAACCATGATAACTACACACAGAGAAATGTGTGGCAGATGATAGGAGAGCCTAAAACAATCACCCTTGCCCTCTTGGAGCTGGCCTTTGTAACACTGACCTGTGAAAACCCCTCATTGGGGTATTACAGACATTATAATGGAAAGAGGAAGTGAGGTGATTTCTGTCGCAGATATGCCACAGGGTTTTAGATATTCCTATTCAGAAACAGGACTTGTACATTCTATGTACTCTGGCAGAACAAGAATACGGAATTGCTCCCAGCTTTAAAATTCTGGCTACAAACAGGATGAAGTATCTACCAAATTGCAAACATGGACATGAAAGCAGCTATTCTAATAGCCATAAAGTCAGGGGTTGACATAAGAGGGACTTTATGGTCCCCCACATTCTTCCTTGGCCTTTTCATATTTTTCAGGAACGTGGACATAATTTATTTAGGAAAAAAGGCCAGGACTAGCCTGCTCATCCCCATCTGGTATCTTTTCCATACAGGGTCCAGATCTCTGGGTCTTATAAACATTTGGGGAAAGTGATTTCCTTCTGAGTTCTGAGGGTAAATGAGGGCTTAGTCGTGTATGTTTATGGGTCCACAAACTGATTTGGGTTGATAACAAGAGTTTTTGTGCCTTTTTAAAGTTCTTGTTGAATAATGAGATGGCAAAAGTGTGTCTTCTAAGCATTTCAAGTTTTAATACCTATTATTAAGGGTCTAGGTCAGTTGATGAAGGGGTGCACTTTGGGGCGGGCTTGTAATCCCCCCTTTCTCCTTGTGCATATAAAGAGTTTCTCAGATTCTCAATTAAACACACAGAGAATAACATTACAGAAGCTAGAGCTGGGCAGAAACAATTAGATGCAAGGACTACTTGCATCCATGAGGCCTGGCTTACCTGTTGAAGTCGTACTGCACGTTCTGAGTCAAGTCTATGTTGAGGAGAATGAAATCATGCACATGACATCTGGAGAATGGGGTCTTTAGGCTCTGAGAAGTCAGTTTGCTACTCCATTTCTGTATGCCCAGGATTGCATAGTGGACGATTTTTGGTGTGGCTTCAATATGCTGCAAGACACTCTTTAAGGAGACATTCTTACTGGAAACTCCTGCTTCCATGGGCTGGCTATGAAATGTAAAGTTAGTTTATATAAGATGTCAATAAATATTACCAAAGAAAGGATCATTTACGAAGGGCCAACACTGCTACACATGAGTAATATTGCAAAGAATATAATTAGCTGATTTACTTTATATTAGCCTGGAATGGAGAAGGATGTCAAGCTCAGTTTCTACACTGCCTGACACCTCTATTAACAAAGCTGCCTTTTGGGGCTGGGGCCTGTCACTTTAAGGCAGAGAAAGAAATCCAGCCCATGTTTCAAAGTGAATAATGAACAGGGAATTACCAAAGAGAGGTAGCCAGAGGTTAAAAGCATGGAAGTATACTTCCAGTTCTGATAATCATGCGTAGTAAAGGAATATTGAAAACTTCACTGGTTTCAAATCCACAGTGGAAACAAGGACACAAAAATTGATATTTGAGGGCCGGCCCAGTGGCGCACTGAAGAGTGCGCCGCTTGGGAGCGCAGAGACGCTCCCGCTGAGGGTTCGGATCCCATGTGGAGACCGGTTCCTGCTCACTGGCTGAGCGCGGTGCGGGCGCAACACCGAGGGTTGCGATCCCGTTACCGGTCAGTAAAAAAGACAAAAAGGAAAAAAAAATTGATATTTGAGCTGGAAAGGGGCTAGTGATCATCTCGCACAGTGTTTCAATGAGGGTGCTATTGAGTTTTGGGGGCTATTTTTTGTGTAGGACTTTTCAGTGTTTAGCATTCCCTGGGCCTCTTGGATCCCCAGTCCACCACCCCTTGGCATTGTGACATTCTTAAATGCCCCCTAGAAAGGCAGCACTACCCCAGGAGGAGAAACACTGATTTTGGCCCAGCTGTAATTTTACAGGTGATAGACTTGAGACACAGAGGTGAAATGACTTTCCTTTTTCATGCAGATAGTTAAGAAGCAGAGCTTGGTCTAAAAACCAGCTCTTCTGATTCAGACGCCAGTAGTCTTTCTAGATAAATCATAGTGTCTCAACAGAATTTTATAGCTAACTAATGCCATGATACAGACAGACAGAAATGGTCCAGGAATTTAATGGTATCCTGAATGTCTAAATTAAAAGTTCCTAAGTCACTACAAGAGGTGCTAGTGAGGGTGGTCTCATAGTCAACCATTAATTAAGCTCTGGAAGGCTGTGTCTCTCATTTACTTCCATGTGTAACTGCAGCCAAGAAAAGTATCTTTTCCATAGCATTGTGTCATACTCCCCCAGAACTGCTTGGAAGTATCACTACCTGGTCTGCTCCTGCACACTGTGAATGTTCCACAGGACACACGAGTCATCCATCATAACGATGAAAGGCCAGACACACTGGCGTTTAACTCCCAGCTCCTCCAGGCGGTTCCTCTCCAGTTCTAGGTTGTGATAGGACAGCTCCTTAATCAGGAACCTGGCAGCACCTGGAAGGCAGCATAACCACAGCTATAAATCCTTCACTCAGGCTTGGCCAAATCCCCACAGGTAGCTCACATTCTCTCCACAGGCGTGCCTGTTCACATTGTGACGATGGAGGTGGGAGCCAGCCAAATGTTCAGAGCCGTGGTTCTCAAACGAGTGTATATAACAGCCACTGGGGAAGTCAGTTTAAAATGTAGGTTCCTGGAGCCCTTCTCCAGAGATTCACTTGAGTAGGTATGGCGACGGGCCAGAAATCAGAGCTATCTTAGATGATGCACAAACTACACGTTGAGAAGTATGGCAAGAATTGTTTCCCTGACAGAACAAAGGATACTACATACGTATAGGAAATGCTATTACTGATTAGTTCCTTAAAGCATGACAAGAGGCTGTCTCAGTCTCGGAAGCAGCCTTTCACACATCCTGCACTAGGGAGTAGCAAGGGTTGCAATGACTGGGTATATCCTTTTCCACTGATGTGTCTCTTGCTTTAGATACTTTCAGGAAACTGGCAGCAGCATCTTCTCTGAAGAAGATTCTGGAAACTGGCACTCTTTCCCTAGATCTGCTTTTTGCAAGAGGCAGAATGGTATAGTAAGTGAATAGACTAGAGGCCAGGCTGCCTGAGTTTGAATCCTGATTCCACCATTTTCTACCTATATAACCCAGAACACGTTAACTCCACTGTGCTTTGGCTTCCCCTTCTTTTTAAAAAGGGGGTAATAACACCTATCTCACAGGGTTGTTGTATGGTGCTTGGGACAGTGTGTAGCACATGTTCAGTACTCAATGAGTGTGAGCAATCATTAAGATGACGATCATCAGGAATTAGCCAATTTATCAAAGGGCCATCCTAAAATGAAACAAAATGTAGATGATAAATGAAGAGGCTAAAAAAAAGATATTAAATGTATGGAAGAACCCAAAACAGTTTGAATAGATCAAGAATAATTCTGGGATTCAGGAAAATCAGTTTTCCAAGAGCATGTGTGTAGTAGGTTGCATTCTTAACATAATAAGGGCCATATACAAAAAGCCCACAGCTAACAACATCATGAAAGACTGAAAGCTTTTCCTCTAAGACCAAGAACAAGACAAGGATACCCACTTTCGCCATTTCTATTTAAGACACTACTGGAAAGTCCTAGCCAGAGAAATTAGGCAAGAAAAATAATAGGCATCCAAATTTGAAAGAAGCAGTAAAATTATCTCTGTTCCCAGACAGCATATCTTATCTGTAGAAAATCTTTTAAACTGTAGAAGAAACCCTTTAGAACTAAGTGAATTTGTCAAAGTTGCAGATACAAAATCAACACAAAATCAGTTTTATTTCTGTGCAGTAAAATTATCTCTGTTCCCAGACAGCATATCTTATCTGTAGAAAATCTTTTAAACTGTACAAGAAACCCTTTAGAACTAAGTGAATTTGTCAAAGTTGCAGATACAAAATCAACACAAAATCAGTTTTATTTCTGTGTACCAACAATGAACAATCCAAAAAAAGGAAATTAAGAAAACAGTTCCATCGAAAAGAATAACTACTTAGGAATAAACATAACCAAGGAGGCAAAAGACTTGTAGAGAAAAAAGTACAAAACATTGCTGAAAGAAATTAAAGACACCAAGAAATGGAAAGACAGCCCATGTTCATGGATTGGAAGACTCGATATTGTTAGATGTCAGTACCCCAGTTTCCAATTCCATGTTTGTACAGCAGCTCCCTAAAATTTGCCCTGTGCCTTTAAGATGAGAGATGAATTAGGGACTCCTCCAGATCTTAGTGAACCACTAATTCCATTCTCCCTCATGCCATCTTTCTTTTCACTGTTACATTCCTGCTCCTGAGTGCTCAGCCCAGGAATATTTGGGAAGAATCCTAAACACTTTCCAGGATGCTCAGAACACCAGTGCCTTTTCCTTAGCTGCTAGTCCTCAGAAGTTAAAGATTCTGTAACGTTGCAGATAAGGGGAAAAAGATTTTTGGTCAGGAGGGCAGGACACTTTCCAGGGATGGGGAAACCTTTGAAAGTTTCATGCCAGGGGAATGGAGCTCAGTTTATCTTCTCAGCCCTTCTTCCCGTCCCAGGGTGGCCCCTTACCCACGCCTGCATTATTGAACATGCCAGGAAGCACCAGCATGATGTGGTTGGGCCAGTACTTTCGGTAGAGCGGCATCTCATATTCTTTGACTACCAGAAGGTGAAGGTGGCTGATGCCCTCCATGGCGTGGAAAAGATTTAGGAGTCCATGCTCATGGCGACCACTGGAAGGAGTGAAAATAGGGCTCTTGACTGCATTCAAATTCTGCTGAAAGGGAAAAAACAAACAGGTCAAAAAGGGAAATTAAAACCCTTTGACTGCATTCAAATTCTGCTGAAAGGGAAAAAACAAACAGGTCAAAAAGGGAAATTAAAACGCTTAGATAGGACCGGCCCCGTGGCGCACTTGGGAGAGTGCGGCGCTGGGAGCGCAGCGCTCCTGCCGCGGGTTCGGATCCTATATGGGACTGGCCAGTGCGCTCACTGGCTGAGCGCGGTGCGACACCAAGCCAAGGGTTGCGATCCCCTTACCGGTCACGAAAAACGACAAAAAAACAAAAACAAAAAAAAACCTTAGACAAAAGCTTAGAGAACCTGATCTAGTGCCTGATGCCTGGCAGTCCTCATGTCCAGACACTTTCACCCACCTTGTCTGAGACCAGGGGCAGCCGCATGCTCTCCAGGTGTTTGCCTTGCTTGCTGAAGACAAAATGACTCTCTTTGGATTTGGGAATGATGAAATAGAGCTGAACCTCTTCTCCCAGCATAGAGGAGGAGAATGTGAATGCATGAAGGGTGGAGTCAGACATCTACATTTGCAGAGAAGAAAAGGAGAGAATATTAAGCACAAGGCTTCCATACTTCCAGGCCACTTCTTTGGGTTGTTAGTAAGCGGGGACAAACTAACATGGATTTTTTTTTTTTTTTTTCGTTAAATTTTTATTTTGTCAATATACAATGTATTTGATTATTATGGCCCATCACCGACACATCCCTCCCTCCTCCCTCTCTCCCCTCCCACCCAAGAATGTCCTTTCCGTTTGCTTGTTGTAACAACTTCAAAAAAGTATAGTTGTTATATCTTCTAACATGGATTTATAAGTGCCACCAGACCTTCTGGCTATGAGTAGCAATATCTAAAGAGTTGGGAAGCAACCATTTCATCATATAGTAGCTGTCACTGACATGACAGTCAAGCATCTTGCCCCTACACAACCTCTCCACAGAGGTACTTGTTGCTTGGCACTGTCTTTGCATTCCTCATGCTTTTGGAGCCACACTGTCCAGTCTCAAGCAGAGGTCAGATACACCTGTGGGATGTCCTGCTTATGTACATATGCTCAAAGGTCCCCAGTTACAGGAGAAAAATACTTCTGCTCTATGTGGTCAGGTCAAGTGAATTGACTACCAGCTTCCTAAATAAAATATTAGGACTGACATCATTAAAATGCCTCTGTGGCCTTATCTTTCCTGCCTACAGTGGAAGCTGAAGAGGTGTGAACAGTCATTTAGCCCAGAACTCTGGTTTCAGGGACAGACCATTTGATTCACTGAAGCCAAATATAAACCTAACCTACTTTAAAAGTTGCTGGGAAGCTCACATGCTCCCAGTAACCCATCCCAGTGAATAATTACATACAATAGGTCTTTATGTGCTTTACAGTGCATACAGTATTTGGCTTAATGAAAGGATAACATCAGTTTACATCAGCATCTAAATCCAGGTAGGTTTACCAATAGTTTTAACTGAAATATTACATTTCATAGAAAAATATTGTACTACTTCCCTTAAGTTCTAGTTTATTCTGCTTCACGAATGTGGGAGTATACTACTTAGCAGTGTCATTACACAGAAACTATACGAATAGAAGGGTTTTAATGAAATTTTCTAAAACCCTGTGATCTGTAGACCCAGGGGACTTGTATCTTCTATGTTCTGTAAGGCATGTGAACTGATTTCAAAGTAGCCCACCAAAAGTTTTCAATAACACCAAGAAAACAAATGGGATGTAAAAAGTAACTTGTATTAGGAGAGCAAAATGATTCAATCTAGTTTTTAAGTAAATCCCATCTAGTACCCATTTGTCTTTCAGGATAAAATGTGGGAAAGGTAATGACCTGGGCCTGAGAGCAGAAGCAGGTTTAGGGGAGTTCAATCAGCAGGGCCTACAAGAAGCACGAGGTCATTCTAGGTGTTCAGAGCCGAGTCATACAAATCAAGAAGATAAACTGGGGGAAAGCAGTGTGGAACTTATCCTCCAAACAGGCTCTGGATACTGCTATCATTCACTGCCTTTTCCGTCTTCCGTGCTTAAAGATGCAACAGCCAATAAGAAGCAAATACTATGGGTCATTCTCTCATTCTGCATTCTCATCTCTCAGTTCTCACTGCATAAAACAAACATTGCTCCACTGGTCAAAACCATCCCAGGCAGGAGTAAGAATATGACTAAGTTGGTGCAAATCAACAGACTTGTTAGACACAGCTCAAAGGGCACACAATGTAGATTTGTTAGATAATAGTGCCATTTTAATAAAAACCCAAGAGGACGGGGGAAGACCCTTTTACCAAATAGACCATAATATCCAGTTTTTTTCAGGATCACGGATAAACATCTCAGCCACTTTCTACCCTAAATATGACACATTTTGATGAAGTAGCTTAAGACACTAAGGTTCTTCCCCTCTCTTCCCTTCTCCCTCCTGCAATCCAGTAAGCCCAAAATTCATTTAATCATTGTTTCATGTATTTTTCTTGCCAGTCAGTGGCTCCTGTTCATAGTAAGCTATCCTTTACCTAGGGCCTGAAACTAGAGACCTTATTTTTTATACCTCCACCCCCCACCCTTACATACAAGATCCATATTGGGACAGAGATCCAAGGCAAGGGTGAAGGTGGGAGCTGCACCTGGGAGGCAGAGGTGAAGTCCATGTACTGGTGGCACTGCTCACAGTGGTGGAAGGTGTTGTAGGCTGCGTATTTGGTCAGCATTATGGACACGGTTTCTCGTTTCCTGGGCTCCCCAACTTTGGATTCTTTTATTACTTCTGTGTATAAAGAGGCAAAAACCATCCCATGATTCATGGAAAGCCCCTATGTCTGGAAAGAAAAGTCCCTTACTCCCCCAAAGGACTTTTCCAAGGACCTTATAATTTATGAGCTGAGAGGCAGATATGAAAATTAAAAGCTGATATGCATGTGTGTAAGAGCCAAGAGAAAAACAGGAGAATTATTTAAGCTGCTCTCGGAGATTTAACAGCCCCAGGCCTCCTGCCCTGATTTAGGTTCCCCTATGACCTTCAGGGGTGGTAAGCCCGGCTCCCCTTGCACTGACCTTGTTTGACCCCTGCCACCTTCTCAGTATATACCAGGCTCATCAAACTGTACTTGGGATCATGCACAATGACGTCAAAAGGCATTTTACTGAAGCTCTCGATGTCAGGCCACGGCTCTCCCTCTGACTGGCTTACTTCACTGCTTTCACTGTGATCTAGGATGAGAAGAAAGTGCGCAGAACAGGCAGATTGACCTCACTCCCTCCCACCCTTGGCAGGAGCGCTGCCGCGCTTCCCAAGCGGCGCACTAGCGCAGTGCGCCACCGGGCCAGCCCGGACAAAGCCATTTCTGAAAAATGAGCTCCTCCCCTATTCCAGGGTAGAAGGAGCCAGACTTGTCCCTTCAGATCCATGCTGGGAGGAATGTTAGCCCTCACTGCCCCCCAGAATTAATTCTCTATAGACCAAGTTCACAGACTCCCATTGCCTCCCATCCATCCCAAATTTCCTTAAAAGCTTATCTAATTTGGGATGATCTGAATTCTGTCTTAGGGTTTTAGATGTGGGGTTTTAAGGTACTGACACCCAAGAGATTTTAGGATGCTTTGAACAAGATTCCCAATGTCTGCACATTAGAATATCTGGGGAGCTTGTAAAAGTCTCCACACTCACGCAACACACCCCAGAATAGTCAAAGTAGAATCTCTTTACTACCCAGGCACCAGTCATATTGCATAAAGCTCATTAGGGAGTTCCAATATGCAGTCCAGGCTGAGCCAGTAGACCCGAATGTGCATCCCGGCCCTGGCCCTCACTACTTCGCACCTTTAGGCTCCCAACTTAACCCCTCAGGGGCTCCAGATTCTCATATTGCATAAAGCTCATTAGGGAGTTCCAATATGCAGTCCAGGCTGAGCCAGTAGACCCGAGTGTGCATCCCGGCCCTGGCCCTCACTACTTCGCACCTTTAGGCTCCCAACTTAACCCCTCAGGGGCTCCAGATTCTCCTAAGCATTTGAAGTGGCATATTTAAAGTACTAAGACAGTGGCAGGCACATAGTGGGTATCCAATAGATGATGTATATTATTATTAATAAAATTTGTAAGGTCAAAAAGTAGCTTAAGGCAACTTTCAAAGGGAGAGAAGAAGAAATAAACTTTCAAAAAATAAGTCTAAAGACTGGAAGTATAACTATTATCTTTTTTAGCACAATTAATGCCATTTATTTTTATATCTCTTAGCTGAAGTTTGCTTTTTATTTAAAATTTCAAGCTAATTCTAGATTTTAAGAATACTGTCATTGTGCGTCTCCAGAGCACCTCTGCGTTGCCCTGCACGAAAGCGAGGGAGAAGGAAGAAGGCCAAACTAGCAGCGCCTCTCACTACCGAGGCCAGGCTCTCCCGTCAGACGGGCTGTAACAGACCCTCTCACAGCTCCCTGGCACGGACACGATCCCAAATCACTGTGGCATGATCTGATGGTAAAATCAAAGGCATCACTTGGCTGTGGTGTCGAGGAGCCTGGTGGGAAAACTGGTGGGGACGACAGGGCCTGCCTCCTCCCTGTCTGCTTGGCTCTGGCTTTGCCCTTCTGGGCCCAGCCCTCTTCCAGGAGGTTTGGGGTATTTTGAGGCCAACCTAGATCTGTTTCCTCTCTGTGGTAGGCCCAGAAATCTGGTACAGCTCAGCTGGGGACACAGATAAGATGTAGATGGGAAGATGAGGTCGCACATGTGTGTGTGAAATCATGGCTATGAATTGGTGAGGAATGGAAATAGAGCTAAAGCCATAATAAAATGATTAAACATGGCTGATTTTACCTCTTGCTCTGCACTAAACTAGTCCCCTTGGGCTGGTCACAGAACAGGTCCAACTATTTCAGAAAAACAAGTGAGGTGAGATCTCTAAGTGCTAAATTGATAGGAGATGCCAAGGGCTTTCCCTGTTCTGGACTCATCTTTGAGAGGCTGGAGAAGAACTTGAACCTGGTCACCTCTACCACCTCCCCACAATTCCTCTCCAACACAGCCATCGTTCTGAGGTGTGAAGCCACAGTTTTGAGGCCACACTGTTCTCAGCTGCAGAGTGGAATCAGCCCTGCAGTAACATTTGGGGAGGAAGTGTGGGAATGGGGCAAGCAGCTAGAAATGATCTTCACTTGCACACCTGCTCCCACGGCCCCGCCGAGCACTCTCTCCCGGGTCTTACTACAGATGGGAAGGGGTATTGTTTGTGGCGCCAGCATTCGGTTCTGCGCACAGAAATTTTCATTTCATTGTAGTAATTTTTTTTTTTTTTTTGGCCCTGGCCCTTAACGGAGATCCAAACCCTTGACCTTGGTGTTATAACACCATGCTCTACCAACTGAGCTAACCTGCCAGCCTGCATTATAATAATCCTGTGCCCTCACTCAGCCTGTGGTTAAAATATAACCTATACTCTGGCCAACCAACAAAGGACTAGTATGCAGAATAGAAATATACCCTGGATCCTTAAGCAGCTGAACAGTACAAATTGAATTTTACAACGGATTAAACTTCTGGGCAATTAATCTACCTAACAAGCCTTTATAAAATGCCTCTTTGCTCATCATCACCTTATTGGACATTGAGGGGAGAGAGTCTGAAATTAGACTACTCCATCCCTGACCTCAAGGAGCCAAAAGAGGCCACGGTTTACCCAGGACTATTTGCTGGGCACATTATCTTTAACCTCACAGTGCCTCTGCAAGTTAGGTATTATAGGAATCCCAGAAGGCAGACGCTAACTCCCAGCGTTTGGTGTTTAGTGTCGCTCTAGCGGGCCCCTGCCCTCCCCCTCTGTGCAGCTCAGAACTCACCAGTGTGGATCTCCTCCTCGTCGTATACGTCCACCTCCAAGAGCCTGATGAGCATGCGGAAGAGGATCCTAAGGAACTGTAAATAGGAGCCGGTCTTTCCCACCTGATGGAAATATTTTCAATTGGGGAGGGGTGGAGGAGGGAAGAGAGGGGAGGAAAAGAGAAAAGAGATTTCACACCTTGGTTCTTCAGTGTCTCCTTCTTCCTCTGAGAGGCCTGGATGAGGTCCACATTGCTCTGTCACCCCCACACCACCCCCAAGAGATTCCCTGGCTTCCTTCCTGGGAAAGATGTGCCAACCCTAGCCTAAGGATGCCAGCCTGGCCCGGCCCTACCTGAGGGGGCCCTGTCAGCAGCAGTCGCCGGGGGTGGCAGGTGCGGGCACCAGAGGCCGGGTCCGGCTGGTTGCTGTAGTCCGCATGGTGCTGCCGAGCTGAGGTCCACTGCCTGTAGTAGAGGGACTGCTCCTCGCTGCTCATGTCCTTGTGCAGGAAAGGTCGCAAGGAGCTCACCCAGGCCACATCGGCATGGGGCAGCAGACACGAGGAGGATGTCAGCTTGCCCCCCTTCTGGGAGCCCAGGAGGCTGTAGGCTGCTTTGGATAAGATCACTATTGGGGGCAGGGCCGCGTGCAGGCCCCTGCAGCCTCTGATGGGCTGGGCCAGCCACGGGAGGGCCTTTGGTCCTGAGGAGGACGATGAAGGCTTGGAGGTGGTACTGCTTGCCATTTGGGGGTCCAGGGAGTCGCACTCTTGCTTCAGAGTCTCCCTGGCTCCAGCTGTGCTGCCAGAGACCCCTTCATCCAGCCCCATGCTAGTGGCTGGGCTCTGGAAACTAGGGGTCAGGGACTGCTTCTGGGACTTGTCGGCCGTGCTGGAAGAGCTCACCCCATTCTCCATGATGGAACCTGAAAGAGGATGAGCAGAACCCACGCCATAACCCATTACCATGCTAAGGTGCCTCTGGGAAGGAGCAAAGGCCAGGAAACCAGCTGAAACACAGCTCGCTGTGCAGGCGCTAGACGTCTTCCCTTTGCCACCTCCTCACGCTGCTCCTCCTGCTCCCTTGCCCTGGCATGGGACACAGGGGGCTTGGCCCATGGGTGACACCAGCAAGGGACTGGTTGTCTCTTCCCTGGCTTCCTCCCTCCATGGTCACCCACTCAGTGGAGAGGGTTGGCTGCCTCTCTACTGAGGGCCGCAGCTCCTGTCCCGCAGGCTTCTCTGGCCCCAATTGCCCCCTCCCCTCCCTTGTTCAGGCCCAGTGGTGGGCAGGGCAGGGCTCCTGGGGCTATCCAGACCCTGGTACTAACCACCTCCAGCTCCTTTCCTAAATCCTGCCCACAACCTTGTAAGTAGTCCCTTTGTTAAACTCTCCTCCAAGGACCTCATTTGGATATGCCTTCCAGGACTCTGACCAATATAGGCTCCATATTTTGGTCCTGCTCCAGTGGCGCTCGCTTCCTTCTGGGGGCCAAGGCCTTCCACTGTGGCTGTGGATATGCTCCCCAGACTGTAGCCACTTCCCAAACCAGGGTGGGTGTCTCCACGTGAGGGGAGGTAAGGCATAAGCTATCCAAATGAGGTGCGGTGCTCCCCAGAGTATCTCGCACATTTGGCCAATTAACTTCAAATATGGTTTTCCCACTAAGAACCAAAAAGCTCATGACATTAAGGACAGGAGGCCCTCTCTGAGCTCAGATTGGTGCTGCCCAGGCAGGTAAGTCAGATCCCAACCTGGGGAGATCCTGAATGAATAGTCATTGACTGGAGGTTATTAAAACCAAGTCACTCCACTTGCTCATGGGACTGGTGTGTCCTCGCAGGAGAGCTTGCTTTTCCTCACAGCCCTGGGTGCTCTGGGCAGTAAGCCTCCGCTGCACCTTTGGAGTGAGCCCAGGGCTGGGGGCCGAATGCTCAGCATGGTGAAAGCGGCCCGGACTGGTGTGTCCTCGCAGGAGAGCTTGCTTTTCCTCACAGCCCTGGGTGCTCTGGGCAGTGAGCCTCCGCTGCACCTTTGGAGTGAGCCCAGGGCTGGGGGCCGAATGCTCAGCATGGTGAAAGCGGCCTACCAGCAGGGAAAGGAAATGGCGCAAGCAGCAAGGACACAAAGTGAGCTTGGTGGCAGCACCACATGTGAGGCCGGGAGGGCGTGTGACTGCAGAAGCATAGGAAAGAAGACAGACGTGCCCTCATCCTCACCTTTTGCTTCCTGCCGCTGGTGTCCACAGCTTCTAGATGCGGTATTTCCCCCATCCCTTCCCTATCCTCAAACCTCTTGACTTTATTTTGAACTGGCCTCAGAGAGAAAATTGGGGAGCCTGCGTTGTGGGGCTGAGGCGGGTAGAATGATAAACTCAACAGTCAGCCCCAACCCCTGGCTGAGGGTGAGCGGGCGGTTCTCACGCTCCTCCTGGCTGAGGGTCCCTGTAGACAGACAGAAACCCCCACAAACTACCTCTTCGGTTCCTGCACAAAGCATCCAACAGCTGCCGACAGAATGAGCAGGAGGACTAGTGCTGCTTTTGGACACAAAATTGTTTGTATGTGATTGCATGTATGTGTCAGAGTGATGAAATGATCTCAATGATAATTCAAAAAAAAAAAAAAGGGAAAGAAGGGACATGTGGCCCAACGTTTAATAGTGGCTACCTCTCAAAGTGGGGTTTTGTTTCATTTTTTAATCTCTCCTCTGTACTTGGTTACATTCTCTGAGTTTTCCGTATTAAGCTTTATTACTTTCATTATCAGGAAAGAAACTGAAATAGTGCCGCATTTGCTATGAGACAATTTATCAGAAGAAAATTCATGCCAGGCACTGGCATGAGACACATAGTTGTGCTGTACGAGGGGCCAGCAGGCTGCATATGATGGATCTTCACAACCCACCCATGGCTCCAGCATACACCACTTGCCATTAGGTATCTAGAGAAGTCATCCATTCATTCATCCATTGGAACAAACAAACATTTTGTTTCCAGTACTAAGCCACTTAGCACAAACTTATAGCTTCAGGACCTGGAAGAAAAACAGGGCCTTTGTGCAAATATGAGATGCATATCAACCATGAGAAGGTTAAGGGTGGAAAAGATGAGGGAAAATGGTACAGGCTGGGGTTGACAAAATGTATTTATTATTTTTAGCCTATTGCCAAGCTCTTCATTAAATGTTTACCCAGAGAAGTATTTTGTGGCTGTTCAACAGTCTTATTTTACAAGTTATCTCTCCTGGAAGCTGAGGTCTGGAGAGAGAGCCAGAGTCAGCGAAGGCTCCTCTGCAGGCCTTGGGGGTGTTAGTAAATGGCTCCATCTTCCACACTCCTGTGCACCTCCTCTCCCTGTCCCTCACCCCATGAAAAAGGAAAGAAGTACTGACCAGAGGTTCCAGTGACAGCACTACTGTTGCTCTGGGGCCGCTCCAGGTCAATCAGCAGCTCGTCGGAGTCATTCTCACTGACGGTGGCTCTGTCCTGTTCCTTCCCACTGAGGTCCAGGGCGACAGTGGGCCCCCGGATGACCTCTTTTGAAACATAGCAGCATGCCAGACCTACCTCCTGCTCCAGGGCCGTTCGAGTTAAATAGCTTGAATCGATTAACCGAAGGTCACAGTACTTCAAAGACCTGCATAAAAGTAATTACGTCCTTGGTGAGCCCCTCTGGCCAGGCATGCAGGGTTTATGCATGCCTGGAGAGCTGGGAGTGTCACACAGCAGTTAAAATCCTGGGTTTCAGTGCCAGGTAAGCCTTGACTTAAACCTCAGCTCTGCCACCTCCCAACTGTTATGACCTTAACTTCCCTGTGCTTCACTTTCTTAAAGTATAAAGAGAGAATCACAGTGTTGGACTCATATGGTTATTGTAAGGAATCAATGGCACAATGCACGTAAGGCAGTGAAAGCACCACCTGACACAGAGGAAGCATCCAATTAATGCTTGTATTTTTGTTGTTGCTGCCTTCCAACCCATGCACCCTAGATTCCTTGAGGGGGATGGGAACAGCGGATTAACAGACAAAGCACTTTATCAAAAAAATCCTGCTTTGGGCAGGCCCGGTGGTGCACTGGAGAGTGCGCCGCTTGGGAGCGCGGTGGTGCTCCCACCGAGGGTTTGGATCCCATGTGGAGACCAGTTCCCGCTCACTGGCTGAGCGCGGTGCGGGCGCAACACCGAGGGTTGCGATCCCGTTACCGGTCAGTAAAAAAGAGACAAAAAGGAAAAAAAAAAAAAATCCTGCTTTTCTCTGCCTCTGGCTGCCTTGCCTTGTGATGCACAAACATTTTGCAAATGTGGCTATCTCCCATTCTCATAATTGCTGGATTCTCTCTGGAAAGCCATATTTCTTATATTCCTGCATAAAATAATCCTCATTACCTGCCAAACAAATGAAATGAATGCACATCAACCAAATTTTCATCATCAGTTTAGCTAGCAACTACTGAAAAGTAGAATTAATTATTCAAGTTGTACCTGGGAAAAGTTTCTCCAAGAGGATCTTTGCCAGTTAATATCACAATACAAGGCAGACCTTCTAAATCTTGATATGTCCGAGGGATCCATTCTTCTGGTTCATTTCCTCTCCAACTCTGTAGAAAGAAATCCATAGGAAAAAATTAAACCTCCTTATTTAAATTTCCACCTTTTTGAAGGTTTTCAGGTCCAGATTTTAAACACACCATGCTTCCAAATGACTTTCACTAAGTGTGTGTATGTATATGTATGTATATTTTAATTGCTACTAAAAAAGCATTCACAAGACTCTTCTATAAGAATTTGGCCTTTAGATAAAAAAATCTCAACAGGATAAAATAGGAGAACCTAGTATACCTTATGCATTGGCCACACAGGCCAAAGAAACACAATGTGAAATATCCCTCCAGTGATGCAAACTTTACAGAAATCCTAGCTAAACTACCTGATGCAAGGCACTTAAATATACTTTTGTCACATAATGGACAAAGTCTTGTGATTGGTTCACTGAAAAATTTTCAGTTGTGAATGACTCAGAAAAGAATCTCAGAACTCCATCAAAACACACATTTTCACCAAGAAAATAATGAGGTTAACCACCCCATGCTGGTCATTTTTCCTCTTTCTCACTTTATTGACTTCAAAAATAATTGACAATTATTGGCTTATGGCCTCCAAATAGTCTCTCATAGGAGGGCTAAAAATATAACCATACCTGGATCGAGACAAAAAAAAAAGCCTGTCCCTTGGAAGAGTAATGCAGTTTCCTCATGGTTTCACAAAGAATCTATTAAGCATTAATTTCTCATATGTATTAACAAATATATATACATATACACATGTATATCTTTAATAAATGGAACATCAATCTTGAAAACATGAATATATCAATGAAAAGAGAAAAAAATCCCAACAACTTTGAAAGATGTTCAAAAAGAAAGATCTTAGATTTTTCTGTCTAAAACAGAGAGAAAACAGACTATCTGTTAAGTAGATAAGGTGGTTTCTACTACTTTTCATTATGTGTGTAGCATCTAACAATGCTTTATAGCAGCCCTGGAGTTATTATAAGAAATGAACTGACATTTTCGATAATGCTTTTGGGAAAAAGGACTAACTAATGAGGTGCTACTCAATATACAATTTTATATCAAAATAGATTGGTATTTCCCTTGCTAAGCACAAAATATGATAAAAGGAAATCTACCAGGCAAGAGATAATATAATAAGGTTTGATCAATGATTTGTTGATATCTAGAAAAGGACCAATGAAGAAAAACTAGTCTTTAGAAATAAATATACACACGAGTACTTCACGCAAAATTTCTATAACAGGATAATTAGGGGTAAGCACAAAATTGAGATCATATAATGGGAGAAGCGGCATTGAGTTTTACTTGACTAGAGATAAAACGCACACCCATGCCATCCTGAAAATGGTAAAGGGGGGTGGTAACGTAGAAATAAACAGGTAAACCAAAATCCACCTGGCAGGAAGCAGTCTTGCTTAGGATGAGAACAACCCAACAGGATCTCATATTTCTACTCCCACACAAATAGAGTATAAAAAGGATGAGTTGATGGGATACAGTGGTTTTGAGAATATGAGACTCTCTTATGCATGCTTGGTGCGGCACTATTCATACAAATTAAGGGAGATATGGCCGCTTGAAGAAGTAATTACTTAAGACCCCTTTCGTGTGTGGCATGCTCTCAGCTCTCAGGACGGCTGCACAGACCGACCATCCTTTACAAGCCCCACGGGTGTTCTGACAAGCTAGGAGCCCAGTGAAGAACCTCAGGCCTTGATTGCAGTTTTCAAACAACCGCCCAGAGAAGTCAATTATTTAGGACCTGCTGATTCACACTGACTTAGTGACTGGCCCTTCTGAATAAGTGACCTAAGACTCTGTAAGTAGCTACACTTAATCAGTATGGATGGAGACCCAGAGAAGACCCTGCAGCCTCACATCCATTTAGACCATTTCCTGAACAGGTGTGCGAGATTGCACATAGCCAGGAGAATTGTTTGCCTTTCCAAATTCTTCATCATTAGCATTACTCAAATAGTCTCAAGCTCCATGTCTCTCAATGAGTTATTCTGTGAGAAGGGTTTCAGGAGTTGTTATTCATCCTAGGAATTCCACTGTAATGGAATTTAAAATTTTGAACTTATACCTATATATGAAATATAAATGTTACAACTACTAAATATAGAAGTTTCTATTTTTGGACAATTTTATTTGTTCCAGTTTATTGGGCTAATACAAGATATTTTGCATTTGATATTTGCATTTTGGGTTATTCAATTTAGGTTAGCTAACAGAATACAATAAAAAGGTTTACATTTGCAAAATAACTTATGAACACTAATTAATCATCCCAAAATTAGAGCTCTTAGAAATCATATAGTCCAACTCTCTCATTATGCAGATGGGAAAATGCAGCCCGCAGTGAAAATGCAAATCCCCCAAGACAACGTACTTTTCATAAAATTTGTGCAAAACTAGATTTTTCTTAACCCAGTTTAGCTCAGAATTTAGTGTGCAGGGTGAAGATACCATGTCAGTGTAACTGAGACATACAGTACCTCGCTCAGTTCCATATCTATATGTATGTGGGTTTTTGCTTAAATGCTTTCTAATGGCTAGGACACATTGGATTATAAAAGTCTCCAGAAAAAAAACTGAGCCAGGCATAAGGCAGGGAGTTACGTTAGTTGATTTAGGACTCTACTTCCCCCACCCCTATGCCTGACAGGAGGGGTAGGGGACTGGCAGGCAGTCACTGGCCATGCAGAGGGAGCTGTGAGGGGCTTGGTCATGCACTAAGTCCCTCTGGAAGAGGATGCCTGGCTACGTACCAGTCCAGCCAAAGCCTTGGGGCTGAGGGTCAAAACAAGTACAAAGAAACAAGTTGTTGAGGGCTCCACATGCAAGAGGCTAGGACTAGCTCTGTATGAGTACCGAAGACAAAACAATACTTTACCGGCTCTAGACATGAGCTGACAGATAGGCTAGATGGACAGAAAAGAATTAGTGAGTCAAAGAGACTTAAAGAGGTCCCCCACAGAGATCCGAGAGAACAGCTTACCTTTTCTTCTGAGAAAACAGATGGCCGAGGGCTAGATGCATCTTGAACAAGGTCAATAAACATGGGGTCAAATTGGGTCATCTCATTTTTTGCACCTGCAGTTGGAGAGCATGGAAGACCAACTGCATGCACATGCTAAAAAAGGGGCTCCACAGACTATACACTGCTTTCAATGAGGAAAGTGAATGTGTTCCTTAGTTTAGCCTTAACAAGGAGATCAAATTCAGACATGTACAAAAATCTATTAGGCCTCTGAGCCACCTATGCAGGATCCCTAGAAAACAGAAACGAATGGTATTTGGAAGGAGAAGTATCTGTCCATTGCTAACCTTTAATCGCGCCACAAAGTGAGCCGCAACATTGAGTTCAGAGGCCGGGTTCCCAAGGATGATCTCAAAGCGGTACTGCAGCCCCAGCTTGTCGCGCACCTCCTGCAGCCGCTCCTTGGCTAACATCGCCAGCTGCACTGAGGGTACCCTGATAATGAGCATGTGTCCCCTCCCACTTTTGTTTTTTCCTGGGGAGCCGATGAGGTCATCCATAATGCTGAGTGTTTCTGGTGTGCTGTGGTCTCGGAGTGGCGCCATGGTGGTGAGAGCCATCAGAGCCTCCGAGTACTGCTGGATGAGAAGGTAGCAGCGGACGACCATGCTGTGCAGCCTGGGGTACCTTCAACAGAACACAGGGAACTAGCACGCAGGCAGCAGGACCAGCTGGGATCAGCAAGGCCCGTGCAGTAAGGTGCAGACCAAGCATGGCGGGGAAGGGGTTACTGATCAGTGGTGGGGCTTTAGCTCTAGAATGATCCTGGATCCCATGTCACTGGAAGGAAAAGTTGAGCTTCCAAAGCTTGGGAGTCATAACCTGCAGACCAAGCATGGCGGGGAAGGGGTTACTGATCAGTGGTGGGGCTTTAGCTCTAGAATGACCCTGGATCCCATGTCACTGGAAGGAAAAGTTGAGCTTCCAAAGCTTGGGAGTCATAACCCGTTGGGATAGGCATAGCAAATTAAAGAGGTGTTGGGATAGTCTAGCGACCCTAGCTTCTCCAAGTGTGGCCTATGGGCCAGCACTCACTCAGCAGCAACACCTGGGAACTCAAATCCTCCCACCCCAGAGTTACTGAATCAGAATCTGCAGCTTATCAGGACTCCCAGGCAGTTTGTATGCACCTTAAATTTTGAGACGCACTGATCTAATCAGGTTAATTGTTGACAGGCATAATGGATAATCCCTGGATCTTAACCTCTTGGTGGCACTAGGTTAGAATGGTGGCATTACCAGCTTATTTCTCTGATGCTTAAGATAACAGTGAAGAAAACTGACACATTAATGTGATGTCTGTGGAGTATCAGACATAAAAGGGGTAATTATTATTACTAATTTGAGATCAGCCTCACAGATAGCAGTAACTTTACCTTCCCATAAACTGCCTTGGTGCTGGAAAAAACGTGGAGCTGACTGGAGAAATAGCACACCCTAGTGGTATAACCTCTCAACACCTGAGACCCTGCTGAGTCAAGGAAGCCGAACAAATCTGAGCCTGGCAGCAGCACCCCTCAGTACCATTCTCCCCGGCCTGGACTGCCAGGTAGGAGGATCACTTTGTTCAAATTGGCGCTTTTTACAGTTACAAAGCAGGTGAAAATCAATCTCTCACTTAGGTGCTATTCCTCAGAGAGACAGGCTTGATGACAAAATGGACAGAGGACCCAATTACAGGCATGAAGAGGTGCTAGTTGAGAGTAGTCATTGGCAAGGCAGAGCCCTGGGCCCCTGGCTGGCCAAGGCTTTCATGCAGCTTGGAATAATGAGGCTGAGTGTGTGCACTTTCTTCCTGGTTGCCAGCTAGTAGCACATGCAGCTGCCTAGCAGCAGGGCAGGCTAATGAGGTATTTCACCTTTGTTCCATTTTATAATTCTATTTAAAGTACAAGTGATCCACTGCCCTTGCACAGAAAAGCCCAGGGTTAAATACCAATTAGGGTCATCAAACAAATAGCTTGGTTCTAAAGTATTTTAGAGCTGAAAAGAACCAGAGATGCTCTGTATTCTAACCATTCTGCCTTTCATAGAAGGAGAATGAGTTCAGGGGCTGAGAGAAATTCGGCTACTTGTCCCAGATCATACAACCGGTCAGAGACAGAGCTGGGTCTAGATTTTATTCGGGCTTCTGACAATGGCTGCACACATTGCAAGGATTTGTAAGTTTGGGGAAAGTGAGGAAATCCTTCAGTTCAATCAATCCTGAGCCAGTCCCTTCAAGTTGTCCAAAAATCATAGCTATTATTAGCCTGGGATGAATGGGTTGGAGGGAGTAAGTGTAGATGATCTATGTTTAAAGCTTAATGTCTGTTGCTGGGCCACGTAGAAAACCTAAAGCTATAAAAAATGGTGACTTTGATATACAAGCATTTAAATTTCTCACTCTGAAAGAATTATGATGTTAGAAGTGAATAGTTTCCCCAATCTGTTATGTGTGCACTAAGCTATAATTGTAGTTTTGTGTTATAAAAATTGTAATAGAAGTTGATGGGAATATCCTTTAAAATACAGGTTATGAAACTCTGAATGATCTTACTGGAAAGAAAGATACGATCCCAGCCAGCAGATGGAATGGGTGGGTAGGAAAGCTTCAAGAGGAGACTCATGAGATGATTTTGGAAATTTAAGATCACATGTGCTGTGAAAGGATTAATGTCACTGTCAGTTAGGACTTCTCAAATGCAACAGCTGCAAAGATATAAAATCCTACTCTGAGCCTGCTCCCTTTCCTGACACAGCATAACTTGCTGGGTAGGAGGCATCTATCTGTCCTCTTTTTTATTTCCCTTTTTTTTGAAAAATTATAGAACAGGTTGTCAGACAGATGGTGTGTGATCAATTGGAGCTGGTTTGGAGAACTAGAGCTACTAAAAATTAGAGGCTGCCTTATAAAATAGAGCCCAATTGCCCCATCACTGGATGGTCAAACACAGAATATTATGGTAGATGGGAGGGAGGGAACTCTTTTCTTGTTAGGTAAATTCTAATGTCTCTACCTACTCTTCGAGTCTATGGTAAAAAGTCAGAAAGGAAAAAACTTTCAGAGTTTGACCTGGAACTGGGAATGAAAAGAAGGCAGAGAAGAGTCATGATCCTTTATGCCTAATGTCAGGGACTTAGTGGAGGGGCCCTAAGAAATGAATACACTTAAAAGATCTGATTGTTCCTTAATTTTCTCCAGCCTATACTCCAGATCTCTCATAGTAAAGTTTAGGTTTTTACCAAGTCATCTGAGGGTACTTGTCTGGGTTGGACAGAAGAGAAAAGAAAGAAAAATGTTAAAAGTCTGCAGTGTAGGGTGGGGGAGGCCAGACCTCAGAGGAGCGGCCTTTAAAAGTGAATTCCTCGCTGCCCATTTAATCTCCTGGTGGTCATAATGAAGCATGAGTAGGAGGCAATTCACAGCACGAAAAGTGGTGCCACGTCTCCCTTTGGGTCACTGTTTTCCTTTATTGGTCTTGGATGATCACATAAAACTCGTAAGGGGCTGGCAGTTTAGCTCACTTAGAGCGTGGTGCTGATAACACCAAGGTCACGGGTTCAGATCCCTGTACTGGCCAGCTGCAAAAACAAACAAAAAGCAAGCAGAAAAAAGAACCTCATAGGAGTAAAAGGTTATTTGAGTAAAGGCTGTTTTTATTCGACCTTTGAATGTCATCTGCAAGGACTCCATCAAATTCCCTGTGAAGGGACACAAAAGGCTTTTGGCTATTTTAGATCTGCAAGTACAGCTGTAGAAAAAGGCAGAAGTCCTCTTTACCTCTCCAAGAGCGTGTTCACCATTTTTTCGAAAGTCTCGTCACATCTCAGCAGTGGGCTTGTGATCCCCCACTGCAGAGACTTGCTGTACTCATTCAAACCGAAGTATAGCCTCTCCTCACAGCCCATGTCCTCCTGCTGCAAAACAGAGCAAAACCCAATGAGCACAAGATAGTCTGTCTTTTCTTCTAGGGGCAGAGGGGAAATGCCTGTAACAGGTTGTTTCCTGGAAGGTAAGAAAAAAAACCCCTGTGTTTTGTTACATAACCGTATACCAACTTGGCTACCATCTCTGAGGCACTAACTGAAAATTCTTTTCACTTCAAATGAACTTAATGTGTGACTAGAGGCATGTTGACACGCATCTTTAAGGCAGATGGTAACTACATGGACGGTTTGTTTTCTTTTTCTTTTATTTGGATACACAAGGGCAGACAGCGTCCACTCCTATACTTTCCCTGCTCAAAACATCTCTCCCTACTGACGTGCTATCCACAGAACTCTCTGTTGACAAACTCAGAACTCCTGCTACAGAAAACTTAACTTTTCTGACATCATTGAATGATGGCAACTCATTAAATCTTATCCTTTTAGAAACAATTTATTTTAAAAATGGAATATATACTTTTCTGCCTTCTTAAACAGAATACACAGTATGTAATCCACTCTCTTTGATGACTCAGTGTCTGGCTAGGCTAAGGCCTGGAATCCTCACAGCGCCAATTGTCTAGCTCTTAATCCTGTTTGTGACGCCAATTGTAAAGCTAGGTGACCACGCCAGTTGTGGTGCTCTTTTACCTGCTGGTAATCAGGCACCAACTGGGCCAGTTGTCTAGCTAAGGCTGGGTCTGGAGCCCACAGACCCCGCAAGCCCGTTCACAGACTGGGTCACAAACCCTTCACATGCCAGGCTGGGTCACCAGACTCCTTCACGCAGGTCTATGAGCTAGATAACTGGCCAAAAGGTCCTTGGAGCCATAGGTTGGAAAGCATGGCTGCACCGGGCAGACGGAGCTAGGTAACTGGCCAAAAGGTCCTTGGAGCCATAGGTTGGAAAGCATGGCTGCACCGGGCAGACACCCGAGGCCAACACCCTCCCACCTGCTTCACCAAACTCTCTCTCTAAAGAAGAACACAAGAATAGCAACAAAATTAAAAAGATACATTGGCACACATGCGCACTAACTCCACACACACACACACACACACACACACACACACACATTTGCATACAAAGAATGCCAAACCACACCCAGCTGGACCGGAGGCGAGGGCCCTGACCAAACTATTCTATTTTCCCAACACTCAGTCAACACTATGAAAATGAATAACTATTTTGGGATGTGATACAAGAATCCCTCAGAGGATCCTGAGATGTGTGACAAGCTGCTTGTCCTTAAACTAGGAAGCCCCAGAATATTAAATAGCATTTTGCGTTCGTGGATCTGTTTTTTCTTCATAATTTCCCTGCCTCTCTTCCACCTTAATTTTTTACAGTCATTTCTCGTTGTTCATGTTGTCTGTGTGTTTTAGTCTCACTTTTCTTATTTATTATGTATTGACATTTTAACTTAAACGTTCCAACTCATTTTATAAAGAAAATACGGATAGCTTTAAAAAGTATAAGATAAAAATAAGGTAATTAGAGGAAGAAAAAGCAGAAAAAAGAGAAATAAGATTGGACCAGGGATAAAGTTAGTACTCCCCAAAACACATGCCAGAAATTTCTGCACACTTTATTAGAAGTGGGCTACAAGTTTGGTTCTGAGCTTTTTAATAACCCATTTAAAGAGATAAGCAATTGTGTGATTTATAAGGTCCATAAGATTAAAGGAGGCCCCCAAAACCAGTGAACCTGCTTGTTGAATAGGGTTGTAATTGAGAGTAAATAGGCTTTACGAGCAATCAGAGAAAGTTCTTACAGATACTGGAGACTTGGAGCAGAGATTGAATGATGTCTATTTGAAAGGCTAAGAAGCCTTTGCTTATTTCCTTCTCGGTTTAGCTGTGTTCTGGATAGCTGTGTCAAATAAGTCATTTCAGGGGGAAAAAACATCCTTCCTGTACGTGTTCCTCTATGTCTGGCCGCAGGCACATGGTTATTTGGAAAAACTTTAGCTTGTACTTGGTCTTCACATTTCCTTCTCCCCCTTGGCCCCTGTTTCTTTGGGAAAATATCAAATCCTATTCCGAGCCTGGTCCTTTTCCTGACGCAGCATTATCACTTGCTGAATAGAATACATCCACCTGTCCCCATTTTTCTTTCTTTCTTTTTTCTTAGCAAAATTATAGGACAGGCTGTTAAATGGATGGCCTGTGATCAATTGGAGCCAGTATAAGTTTTGAGAACTAGAGCTACTAAAAATCAGAATTAGAAATGAATAGTTTCCCCAATCAGTTATATCTGCATTAAAAGTAAGTATAGTTGTGTATTACAAAAGTTGTCAAAGAAGTGAATGGCATCATCCTTTATACCAGGAGTTATGAAATGGAATGACTTTACTGTAATGACACATTCCAAGTATCATAAATCATATGACTTATTGAATCACCATTTCTTTGGGGGAAAATGTCCCTTCTCACAAAGAAAAAAACACTTCCCCCTCCCAGAGTCCTGCCATCAGTGACCCTCCCTCACAGCTGTCCCTGTGCTTTCACTGCACTCTCTGCTGTCCTTCCAGCTGAATTCTGCTCTCCTGATGCTGTTCCCTGGAGGTCACCAAGAACTCCTGAGGCCAAATCCAGCAGCATTTCCTTGTCAGTCCTTGGCCTCTCTGCCCTCTCCACAATTCTCTTCATTATTTTCTTCCATGACTTTATCTGCACCAGGTGCTTCAGTAATCACTGTTTTTGAAAAAATATTTCAAATCTATGTCGTAAAGCCCCAGTCCAAACTCCAAGTTTGCGCTTACGGTTGAGTGCTCACCTCGGTCTTACCCAAGGTCAGTCTCATCTGCCCTCCACAAATCAAACTTCTTCTCGACTTGTTTTGCCCAACTAAAGGCATCACCTCCAAAATTTTTCTGGCTCTTTCCTTTCCCCGGATAAACAAATCCTAGAAAACTTACCATGTCTCTCCTACCCTTTTTATTGCCGGGGCCATTATTCTGATTCAGATATTTGTTAATTCTAACCTGAATTATCAGAAAAGCCAGTGGCTAATCTTACACTTCTAATGACCTTGACTTAGCCTCTAGATTGAATGAGCTCCTTTAAAATGCAGCCTCTCGGTGGCTACTAAAGCTGACCAGCAATTTCACTCCCAGATGCAGACCCAACAGAAATGCATGTATATGTTTACTAAAAGATGTGCCTAATGTTATAGCAGCACCATCTGAAATAAATGAAATAGGATGGGTAAACGAATTGTAGTGGAGTCACACAATGTTATATATTTATAGCAATAAGAATGTATGTTTTACGATTCATGAAAAATACAGATGAATCTTATAATGTATGTTGAGCAATAAAAGTCAGATACAAAAGAGCGCATAGTGCATAATTTCATTTACATAAAATTCAAAACTGGACAAAACGAATCTATGGTATAGGAGGCCAGAACAGTGTTACCCTTTAGTGGTGCTTGGAAAGACACAGGATTTCTGAGGTAGTGGTCATGTTCTGTTTCTTGATCTGGGTGCTGGTTCCATGAGTGTGTTCAGTTTGTAAAAATTCATCAAGCTAAACATTTATAGTGTTAATATATATAAAAAAGAAATATGTATATTCTACTAATACTATATACCCTTGCTAAAAAATCCTTAATGCCTGTGTAATACGTGTAAACTTTGCCAGCTTGGCATGCAAAGCCTCCATATGTATATTATTTCAGGTGTCTTTTGCATCCTATTAAGTGTTCTCTGAAAGACGCCTGCTGTTTCCTCCTCTGTGGCCCTGCACATGCTGCCTACTGCCAGAAGTACCTGTCCCCCCACAACTGCCACCTCCGTCTGCCTGGGCATACCTCTCTTTCAAGGGCCATCCTCAGTGCTCTCTCCTGTATGTAGCCTTCCTTGATCCTCTTAGATGGATGTGGCTTCTCCCTCAGTTCAACTCCCAGAGAGTTCTGATGCTTTGAAATTGCCTTATTCTACTTTGGTTAATAGTGACTGAGATACCTACTTTCCTTTCTCCTCTAAACCATGAGTCCTCTGCATGTCCTTTGAAAGATCCAACACAAGTCCGCAAGTGCTTGATAATACTTTCTGAATTAAATTACTTTACTTTTTCCAATTCTTCCTGTAGGACACTGGCTTCAGGATAATTAAAGGAGGCTAATCATTAGGAGCTTCTCCCGATGTGTAAAGTTCTCGTAAGTTAGAGTCAACATTTTTTCCTTTTCTCTATGTTGATCTCAATTTCATAGGGATGATTTTTTAAAACCTTCCACTATGGAGGTGTTTAATAACTCTCTGCCCCTCAATTATTTTGAATAAATCTCCGGTATCATATCTTTAATCCATAAATACTTTACTAGGTATTTCTAAGATAAGAACCCTTTTAAAAAATATAACCACAATGCCATTATTATAACTAAAAAAATAACCATAATCATAGGAATGACTTTTAAAGAAAACTATTTTAAGCCTGGCTCTCTATTACTTCATGTCAGAAGATAAAGGGCAGAAGTTATTGTCCTTCCTATCACTGATGTGATCCCTTCTGGAAAAAGACTGAACAAACAAGGTAAATTAGGATAATTCTCTTCCCTCCCACCTCAACAATATACTGAAACTTAATATGTAGTAGGGGAAATATCTGTTGGATTAGAAAATAATTTTTCCTTTAATTCATCTTGCTGGCAATCCTATTCTGTCCCAGAGCAGCTCAGAAGATACTTGGGCAGCCCCCAGGCTCACCCTGTACATTAAGAGGCAAAGGGGCTGGGGCAGCTCCTTCTCTCACCTTGAACTTGACCACCCAATGCATGAATGGAGCTGGCATGGACAAGATACCAAGGAAGCAAGAGCTCAAGGCCATCCCTATGTGAGAGTGACACGCTGAGACAGCTTTCATAAGGGAGGTCTGTTGGTGGCAACACTATTCAAGGACCTGAGCTTACTGACGGCAAACAACCACCAATGCTCGAAAATAAGAGCTCAAAGTAAGGAAAAACTTACCTGCTCATGACAGAATGAGATGCACTGGGTTGAGAAATAAATGTTATTCTTATGTAAGACTCTTCTGTTTTGTTTTTTTTTTACTTAAACATGTTTATTTTTACATATCCAGTACGTTCAGAATTTTTAAATGAAAGATCCATTGCTTAATGGCTAATCGTTATTATTTTTATGAAACTCATTTCTTTGGTAGTATATTTAGCATGCAGTTTATAGAGATGGCTACTGTCAACATATTCATTGCTGCTACCAAGTTCTTTAACAGGGCCATCCTCCCCTGTTTCAATCAGAAGACTGTGAGAACTGATTAAAAGGAAAAATCCAGTTGCTGGGGGAACATGAGAATAATTAACAGTGATATAGATCAGTCAGACAAAAACATCACAAAGAGGCCATCCAGAGGACAATGAAACTTCAAGGCCTCAGAGTGAAATTAATCACTTAAAGGCACAAAGACAATCCAGAATATTGATGAAGGTCTCAGATAACATCACATTTTTTTGGAAAAACTATATAGGATGGATAATTTCGCATCTATGTGATACCTAAAAAGAACCACCTAATCAGATTTACATGGGACACTATTCACTAGTTTTTAGTCTTATAATAATCGTGATTATATGGAATTTTTGGAAGATAAAACATTATGTTAGATTTTTGAACTCTTGTGCTGTATCATACAAAACCATTACTGTATTCTGTTATGAGATTCTGGCCAGGGGAACAGAGAATATGACTTTGTATCAGAGAGTAGGCGGGAGACTCACCCCGGTATCCAGCTGTATCCAGTGAACCTCATTGCTAGAGCTGATTCGGGACTGTTGGGTCTGCAGAGTGTACGGGAAGGAGCTGACCTGGAGTACCAGGAGGTTGAAAGCTTCCAGAACTTCTCTGCAATTAATGACTCTGTCAGCCAATCCATGACTGGGTTCACCATGTGACAAAGAGCCCGAAATGACACTGCAGAAACATTGAGAGTCACGTTTATAATTCCTCATTTCACGAATTAGATGCAGAAGCAAATACCAACATGGAGACAGTGTTTCAGTTCTTATTTTTCCTGCTCTTTTAAATTGGGAACAGGAGTAGAAACAACCAAAATATCATTTGGAAGAGAAAAATTTACACTCCTTCTTAATCCTTTTCAGACAGATTTTAGGAATTATTTTTCTCCTTTTTATTTTGTCCCTGATATACCTCAGTGTAACCTCAGTTACCCAGGCCAAGGATATTTAAAGGATATTTAAACCATGGTTTTAACATGGATCACTTTACTTTGAAAGCTCACCTGAGTAAGGGGGCTTCTTTATCAAAATGTGGTGCTTATAGCCCCAAATAGCAACTGTGTTAACACCACTCTCCTTCCTCCCCTAGGCTGCTAGACTGTGAGGGGCGACGAAGCCTCCTGCCCCATTCCCCATGACCAAGGCTTTCATCTCTGAATCTTTTTCACTTCTGTTCAATTTGGATGTGCCAGGTTGCCATGCAGCCTCAAAACCACGTTTTTTGTTTTTGTTTTTGTTTTGTCAAAGAAATAATCTCAATGCTCTGGGGAATTAAATACAGAGAGATCCAATGTGTATCCTCAGGAATATTACCTGAAACTTTCAAAGACAAGGTGCATAAGGTCAGTGAGCTACTTCTGCTCACGGAACACTAGCAATAACCAAACAGAAGTAGAAAAAATTTCTTCTCCCTCTCTTCCTTTCTTCTGAATCTAGTAAGTCATGCAAGATCTTATTTATACCTCTGTATGGCTCTAGATTTCAGATTACAGAGTATCAAACACTTTCTAGCTTCTGAACAAGTGCTTTTCCCATTCCAACATTTCTACCACAAACCAAAAGACTTCCAGTGTCTCCTGGAGAAAAGAAAATCTACAAATGCTTGAGGATGCCCCAAACTTCTGTCTCCCTACAACCATGATGTGTAAAACTTGATACCTATTTGCACCCCCTTTTAAAGGACTTGCCTTTTTAGTCCATTGAAGTAAAGACAGCACCTCCCGCACAGTTACCATAATCTGATCTGGGAGCACAACTGGCTCCCTCATTCCACGTTTACTGTTTTTTTCATTAATAAATCCACCCAAGAAATATGACATTTTCTTGTTTAAACTGGAAAACTGGGGAAGGGTTCAGATCTGCTCTCAGATCATTAAAATGGCATCTCAGCTATTAAAGGGAAGAGGGAAGAGAGAAAGGCAAGGAAAAGGAGAGGAAGGAAGAGAAGCAAAGGGAAAAAGACAAGACGGTAAAAAAGGAGGAGGAATGCACAGGGTAGCGTGTCTCCCTTTTGGAAGCTCATTCACCTCCACCTCCTTGTGGCCGCCCTTTCTCTGAAGCCGCTGAGTTCCACAATGCTCTTAAGACACTGTTTTTAACAAGAATTTCTAAATTCATCCATAGTATAATTAAAATAAAATCACCATTAAATTGGTACGAAAAGTTGAGGAAGCAAGGAAAGGGTAGGAAAAAAACACCAGTAAGAAGATGCCAACTGTTACGGTCCCTGGGCTTTCACGTCGTCACGTTTAGAAGACTGCATTATGTGACAAGTGCTGCTGTAGAAGAAATACTGTGTTTGCTCACGCTGAAGCAATCACCTCGTTAGTTCCACATGGGAGTTGTCATGAACGAGCACAAACAGCGTGTACGGGTTCTGTTTCACCCTCCTCATAAAAACTTCAAACTTGGTTTGAATCTCGTTGTCCAGACGAACAACATATTTCTCTGCTCTCTGATGAGCTGTCCCGTTTTCCTCCAGACCCAAGTCTACAAGGACACCTGCCAAGAAGAAAAAAGGATTTATCTTTTTACACTTTTATCCACACACACACACACACACATATACATATACACAAAATAAACTTAAGTTCAGTGTTGAGTAATACTAGGTACTGACTGTATACAGAGATCTATAAAAGCAGATACTTTTTCTTTTTCAGATTTCCCACCACAATTTTGAGGAGGAAATACCAGATTTTCTTTTCTCCACCACACCCCATCACACCTCCGTACCTGACCTAGGGAATGTTCTGATATGTAAAGTGCTCTGCTAATGGCTATTGCAGGCCTCTTGGAAAAAAATGAGTTTTGGGCTACGGCTCTTGACTGAATTAATATAATGGCATAAACCTTCCTTTATCTAGCAACCTTTATTTAACCCCAAATTTAGCAACAAAACATATATAATTAAGAGTTGACTACATTTCAAAACAAATAAAGACCAATTGTATGCCTTTGACAGGTCAATTCCATGCATGCCCTTAATGAAAAACAAAGTTCCAGGAACCTAAGAGGTCATTCGCTTTGATATAATGTGACACATCAGTCCATAAGTACACAGCCAGCGGGCTGTGCAGTGATGAAGTTGGGTGAAGAGCAGGCACATCAGAGGAACTTGATTATTTTATTTCTAACTGGGCATTTTTAGCAGATCATCCTTACCTTTAAATTTTGTTTTAGACTTGCTTTTATTTTAAAGTTTTGTTTCTTTCCTGGTTATGAAAGTGATAGATACTCATCTTGGAAAAACTGGAAAGTATAGAGATATATTAAAAAAGAAAAATGTATCCACAATTATTTAATTCAAAATAAGATGCTTATTTTTTGTGCTTTCCTTCTTGTGTTTTTTCTGTGCATGTTGTGCTTCCTGGCTCACAATTTGTAATTGTATATGCTGATTTTTTTTTCACTTATGATTGTAAAGTAAGAAACAAAATTATCATTATTTATTAATAATACTTGTTTATGTCTGTATAGAAAATATACTAGACTCCATAGATAAATCAATTAAATTAATAAGAATTTAGTTAAGTTGATGAATTCAAAATCAATTTACAAAAATTAGTTGCATTTTTATATACCAACAGGAAATGCTTAGGAAATATATATATTTAAAAATTTATAGTAATATCAAAAAATTAACTATCTAGGAATAAATCTTACAAAGTATCTATAGACCCTTATGGACAAAATGATTAAACTACAAGTATTAATGATATTAAAGAAAAGCTATATAGAACTATATCATAAAATATAGTTAAAATTAAATTCTCCCCAAATTTATCTAGAAATTCAATGTAATTCCAATTAAAATTAAAAATTTTTTTACTTGAATATTTGTTTTTTAAAAGTATATGCAGAGAAAACGACCAAAAATAGTTAAGACAGACCTGAAGTAAAAAAAGGTGGGAAAGGGGCCGGCCCGGTGGCGCACTGGATAGTGCGCTGCTTGGGAAGCGCAGCGGCGCTCCCCCCCGCGGGTTTGGATCCCACATACAGACCGGTTCCCGCTCACTGGCTGAGCGAGGCGCGGGAGCAACACTGAGGGTTGCAATCCCGTTGCCGGTCCCCGGTCCGGTACGGTCCGGTACAGGGGCAACACTGAGGGTTGCGATCAGTTGCCGGACACGGAAAAAGACAAAAGACAGAAAAAAAAAAAAAAGGTGGGAAAGATGTGCCTCACTGGAAATTAAGAATTAGAGTAAGAATTAGTAAAACAAAGTGGTTTTGGCATAGGGTAGAACCTAGAAACAGACCCCCATGCATATGGAAACTATTTATGATAAAGCTTGCACTGCAGATCAGTGGCAAAAGGATGGGCTTTTCAATAAATGGTGCTGAGGAACTGGTTATCCATATGCTATGATTTCAATGTTTGTGTCCCCTCCAAAATTCATGTCAAAGCTTAATCCCCAGTGCCACAGTATCAAGAGGTGGGGCCTTTGGGAAGTGATTAGGTCATGAGAACTACTCCTTGTGAATGGGATAAGACCCTTGTGAAAGAAGCTTCACAGTGTTCTGTCCTTTTGCCTTTCTGTCTCTTCTGCCATGTGAGAATACAACATTTCTGTCCCCTTTGGAGGCAGTCCTGTGTATCTTCTTATAGCAACAAAAACGAACTAAGACACCGTATGAAACAAATTATATTGGATCTTACTTTACCTCATACACAAAGTACAATTTCAAATGGATTAAAAACTTAAATGTAAAAGACAAAATTCTAAAACTTTTAGGAGACAACACAGGAGAACAACTTTATCATCTCATAGAGGGTTTCTTAAGGACAAATGGGCAAAGGATAGATAAATTGAACTTAAGAACTTCTATTCATCCAAGACATTCTTTTTTTTTTCTCTTACAGACTTGCAACTGTTTGCCCCATCAAAGACAAGCCTCTCAAATTTGTAACAAGTATTACTAACAAAATATTAAAATTCAGAATACATAAATTACTCCAAAAATGGCAAAAAACTAATAAAAGTTTCCTGGAAGAAATCCAAATTGCCAATAAACATAAAAAAAGATGTTCAACCATGTTAAAAATATGGAAAATACAAATTAAAGCCAAAATAAAATGGAAACATACCAAATTAATAAAAAATTTTAAAACAAGATAATTGCAAGAAGTGGATGGAATATATATATATCTCATTTCTACAAAAAAAAAAAAAAATACAGGAAGGATAAACCAGAAACTAAAGAGTCTGGGTACCTACAGAGGTGTGGGTGGGAAAAAGGAAGAATGGGATTGGAATAGGTATGAGGATGGAGGGACACTTCTCTGACTGTAACATTTTGTAGAGCCTTGACTCTTAGAACCATAGCAATAAACAAGCAAAGAAAATCAACCAAGAATGGTGGAGTATGAGTGAGGTGCAAAATGGAATCCAAATGGTAACAAAAGAAACCTGCCATAACCACACTGAAAGGGATAAGAATGAAAAGAACAAATCCAAGTAAAACAAACCAGTATTTTGCTGGATACTGTAAGGCCAAAGACAAAAAGAATTGTACACAAAAACTTTAGTTAGCAAATCTGTTTCTCACAGGGCTATGGGTTAGCAATTGAGTAATTCCTAGGGGAAAAAATCAAATAAGTGAATACATTGTCCAGTTTTCTTTCTGTCAGAGAAAGAAGTTACAAATAAAGAAAGCAGAAAGACTAAAATGAACCCTGTGGGGTAGATTGGAATTGGAGGTGTCAATATGAGTTCATATTTTAAAAATAAAGATATAGAAATTAAAAAAGTGTATGTGTGTACACACAGATGGGTTAACATACATATATATTTCCTAGCTCTGTCTGCTGAGTAAGCCTAGCAGTGATGATGCCACCATAGCAATGAGCACACGACACCCAGATTTTGGTTTCTAAATACCATTCTTCAATAAAAAGAATCAGGATTTCTTGGGGAAGAGGTTAATCCCAGGGTTGAGACAGGGAAATAAAGAAGAATCCTGGAATATCCAGGAATAATCCTGGAATAAATAATGATAGTATTGGCAATGACCCATAGAATAAAATAAATATCCATGAACCATATATAAACAGACCAACATAAATACAAATATAAATAAACAACCAAATAAATAAAAAAAAGGAGAAAACACTTATCCTTACAGAATGCAATTAGTTAGTTCCTACTATTAAATGCAGGAAAAAATGATAGAAATGCAAAATCACCACTTTGTAAATACTGTAAGTTGCAGGCAGATCCCACTGATGGATGCTAAAGTTCATGGTTGAAAGTTAGAGAAGCAGGATATTAGCATAATCTCAAAGTATTTCCACAAGATATTTTAGCAATTACAAAGAAAAATAGTAATTTTATAATGGAGAAGCTTGGCAGACACACCTTAATGAAGTGATCAAGGTTAACATCACCAATAATAAAACATTATCAGCATCATGTACTCCCTGACATAACACACTGGGGACACAATGTCATTTTTGTGGTTCTCTTGCCCAAAACAAATAACCTCAACCTAATCATGAGAAAGCATCAGACATTCCCAAATTGAGAGGCGTTATACAAAACAACTGACTGGTATTCATTTAAGGTCATGAGAAACAAGGAAAGGCTGAAGAAAAGTCACAGACTGGAAGAGACAAAGAGGACATAATCACTGAATGCAGTGTGTGATCCTGAATTGGAACCTGGGACAGGAAAACATCATGAAGGGAAAGATTGGTGAGGTCTTTAGTCAGTTACCAGTATTGTTCCAAGACTGATTTTCTGCTCTGATTCTTACACTATGGTTATGTAAGTTGTTAGCTTTAAGGGAAGCTGGGTAAAGGGTATAGTAAACTGTCTACTATTTTTTAACAGCTTTATTGAGATATGTACTTCATGTATTTACATATAATTCACCCATTTATAGTGTACAATACAATGGCTTTTAGGATATTTACAGAGTTGGACAACAATGACCACAATCAATTTTAGAACATTTTCATCACCTCCAAATAGAATCCCATACCCTTTAACCATTACCCTCATTCCCTGTGCCCCCCAACCCCCAACCTCCCATCCCTAGGCAATCACCAATGTACTTTGTCTCTCTAGATTTGCTTATTCTGGACATTTCACATAAGTGGGATCATACAATATGCAATCTGTGTGATTGGCGTCTTTCACATGGAATGTTTTTGAGTTTCATCCATGTTGTAGCATGCATTAATACTTCATTTCTTTTTATTGCTGACTAATACTCCACTGTATGGATATACCACATTTTATTTATCCATTCATCAGTTGATGGACATTTGGGTTGTTTCTGCTTTTTGCCTATTATGAATAATACTGCTATGAACATTTTTACACGGGTTTTTTTGTGGACATGTTTCACTTTACTTTCATTTCATAACTTGTAGTGAAATTGCAGATAACATATGGTAACTCTCTGTATAACCATCTGAGCAACTGCCAGACTGTTTTCTAAAGTGGTTGTGCCATTTTACAGTCCCATCAGCAGTGTATGAGGTTCCAGTTTCTCCC